TAAGGCTGAGGCTGAGGCAGGCTGAGGCTGAGGCTGTGACTGCGACTGCCGTTGCCGCTGCGACTGTCACTGCGAATGCGACTACGACTGCGAGAACAGCAGAATTCTACAAATGGGTTTTTCATCTGAATCTTAAGGGGAATGCTTTCAGATATGCTTCTACATATCGCTATTAGGTTGCTTTGTCTGGTTTTTTTTTGGTTTTTGTTTTTGTTATTTGTTTTTTTCCCCTCTCTCTCTGTTTGTATGTGTCCTTGTAACCGCTGTTTCAGAGCTACGCAGATTGATCGAGCAGCGCTCTCTTTCGACTAAAAGACTGCCGCGCCGCGCGCGCCATCCTTATCACATGGTTTACCACCCGCAAAATCATATCCGTCTTCACTTATGGGCTCAGGCTCGGGACTGGCCGCCGCACGTGCTTCCATTTTGGCTGCAGATCTGGCCAGTACGCCGAAGCCCTTGACAAGACTTGGGGCTTGAAGCTTGAACCACAACGCTACTCTTGGCTACGGAACAACAGCTCAGCCCAAGTGGCTTGCATTGCAGTGGCTGGTGACTACTGTGGAGTTGATGTTGGATTGACCCTGCGCTGCCGTTGCATCTTGTTTGCGTTGTTTTTTCAGCTACGTTTGCGTTGTATTTCGTTGCGTGTGCATCCGTATGTTCATTGCATTTGCAGTGCGTTCCATTGCGTTGCATTGCGTGGTGACGGATTCAAGTGCGTTGCGTTGCGTTGCTTCTGGTGTCTGCGCCACTTCCCATTGATTTGGCAGCGGTCTTCATTATAGTATGTTTATTGTTCAGTGCGTTCGTGTTGCGCAACTTTCACTCGCATTACATATGACATATGTCAATACCGTTCATTTTGTATGTGAGTTATGGCGGATTTGAAACCAATCCCGAATCAACGTCGCGTGAGGACTTGTTCCCGCATGACAGGACAACCGGCATCATCAAACTGATTTGGCACGCCAGGACGTCCAGTGGGAAGGAGGAAACGAGAGGTTGGACAGCAAGATCGTCCGAGGCTCTAAGCCCAAATAGAACGATCGACAAAGGACGCATCACTGCTGTAAAAACGCGCGCTGCCGGAATGCCTCTAGAATCCGGCAACACAGGGCGAGGGCAATGACTTCCTGACCTCATCCGAGCCTGGCTCGCTACTCCTGCAGACCTCGCAGACCCAGCGAAGCCAGCTTAGTGCAAAGCAACATACAATCATTTACCCTACATGTGTCTCGGCGCTGCGTGCAGCTGTAAATGAACCCATACACTGGAAGTCCACGGCTCTGGAAGCCCCGGGCGTCCATCGCCTTGTTGGCCAAGCGCCCCCTGCCGATCTGAACCCCCGCGTGGATTGCCCACGTCTCGAGCCTGGAAATCTCGCTGCGGGGCGCCGCCGCCAACACGAGTAGACGATCCCATGCGTGGAAGTAAGTGGCCCTTTATCCACGACGGTTGCCTGGCGGGCATGGCGTCCGCCTTGCTGCGCCATCCGCCCCTCCAGCGCCAGGCTGGGTCGGCGGTCGAGCCTATATAGGCCCGACCGCCGCCCACCTTGACGCGCCTGATCCTATCCTCGAGGTCGCTCTCGTCGACGTGGAAAATCGGGCCCAGCCACGAGTGCACGCCGTCCACGTCGCGTGCACTGCGCAGCATCATCTCGGCATCCTCGCGCGCCTGCTGCCAGAGGTACTCCCTACGAGTTTTGGGGTCTGCAGCCCAGCAGTCCACGTGGAGGGAGCGGCCTGCACCCACTCTATCGTTCTCGCGAGGTGCCGTCGAGCGAGTTCGCCTAGCCGTGGCACTCGCCGGCGCCGCGGCGGATTGCGACGACGCCGTCGCCATCGCAGCGGGCATTGGCTCCTGGGCCTGGACCGCCGTCGTCGCCGCAGGTTGCGGCAAGCAGGTCGAAGGCGAGCAGCTCGATGGCGAAACCGTCGAGGTCGATGGCGAAGCCGTCGAGCAGGTCGAAGGCGAGCAGGCCGATGGCGAAGCCGTCGAGCAGGTCGAAGGCGAGGCCACGCGTGCCGTCGAGCAGGCCGAGGGCGGAGGTGAAACTTGCGTGTGCCGACGCACCCTCGTCGCTCTGAGCCACGGCTGTGATGATGCAAAGTCCTCGTCGGAGTCAGAGTGCCGCATGAGCTCCTTGAAGTCCAACCGCCGGGCGGGATCTGGCGACGAACCCACGCGCCACAGCTCGCTGGCGAGATGATCAAGCCTGGACCTGGGCATAGCTGGGCTCCTCGCGAGAATGCCACATCGGCTACGGACGTGTGATGTGGTACTGTGTGATGTGATGTGTGTCGATGTGTAGTTCTGTCATGTGTGTATGCGTAGGATGTGATGTGTGATATGTGATGTGATGTGTAACGTTGGAATGTACAAGATGTGTGATGTGATGTGTGTAGAGGCGCGTAGTCGAGAGCCCCACTCGCACCTAACAATATCGAGGTGCACAATAGCCTCTCGATGAGTTTATCCCATGACATCAGTCACCCTTCACCCTTCAGTGGAGCTCCCCTCTCAGGCAACGAAGCGTGTGAGCGTGTGAGGGGTATGCCGAAATCGTCGCGGGCACGCATGTGAACTGTCGCAGTGGGGCCACAAACGAGTTAGGGGCGTGGGGCGTGCCGAACTTGGCGTGGTCACTCGTGGGAATATTCCTATTCGGACGTTTGGTGGAGCTTCTTACAGGGTCACGAATTTTGTGAGGGGTGTGCCGAAGGCAAGACATTTGCACCAGCAATGTAATTGACCATGAATGCGTTCCTCATCCCTCATCCCTCATCTGTCCTCCTCTTTGGTTCTCCTCGTCAATTTTCCACCCGAGGAAAATCTGAACTCAATACTCAATGTTCAATTCATTGGAGTACCCGCCGGAGGACGAGCGACGAGCAGGACTAGCAGGACTGCGCGATGCGCGCTTATCTTCGCTCTTCGCGCTCCTGGGAGGCCACCCTGGATAACGTGGCAGCTCTCCAGCCCAGTCCGCGACGCCGCGACGCTCGAAGCGCGATTGTCTTCGCGCCCTTGAGGGCCCAGGGGTGATCTAGGTCTGGAAATCCTGTAACATTTTTTGTTCGGCGCCTCGAACGGCACGATTGTTTGCCCGCGCACGCAGTTGTGCGTCGCGCGAGGTCCTACAAAAGAGGCGAGAGGCGGCTCGGCGCGCCCGTGGCATGTACACACCCGCGGCCCCAAGCGTTCGTCAGACCAATTGTGGGCGTGCTGCCACTGGCCACCGTCGCCTCCATCCACGTGAACGTATCTGGATAGCGGTGTCAAGCGGACCATCCTGCCACGGTAGTCGTGGCCGATGTATCGCTTGTAGCGGTGTGCAACATCAAGGCTAACCTCAACTTCACTTCGCCTGCTGCGCGGCGAGATGTGCCTGCATAACAATCGAAGTTCAACACCATACCGTCATCCTCCTCGATGCAAGTTCCATGCCATGGAGTGATGTTCGCTGTCGATTGCCAACGGACGTCGTTCGAGCCCCAGCCCGAGTCGACCCAGATAATTGCGTTCCCAAGCATTGACTGTTCATCGAGACTGAAATTCCGATACATGTATGCTGTGAGAACGCGCTGCTCCATGCGAGACTAGCGAATCTAAATCTCAAAACTCAAAGCCTCCCAGCGGTGCTTGGGCCAAAAGAGGCTACAGAAGGGGGGCGGGTTGGCGGGTTCGGGGTTGGGACGGCTACTCGGCTTCAAGTCTTCCTCCCAAACAGTTCACATGTTCGTGGTTGGGCACTCGTTTTGAATGGAGAATGGTGGAAAGAGATTGAGGATGTTTCGGTCTCTGTCGTCTGGTTTGGTCTGATCCATCTGGTATGGTTTGGCTGAGAGGACGAGGAGAAGGCTTTTGGTGTAATCCGAACGAGAGGGCTTGCCAGGGGCCTCTCGCCCCAGCGCCGGCCACGATGCGCGTCACCATGGGGGGTGGGCTCCTTGCTCCCCCCATACGGAAAGGGCGAGATTTGCCACCTCCCTCTGCTCCTCGGGGGCGCATCGGACAGGGGATCGGATCGGACAGGAGGTTCGCATCCTACCGGATTCGTGCTTCGCGCTTCGTGCATCCATCCCGCCAGCGCGTCCTGCTGGTTTCGTGCTCGGCGTCTGGGACTCTTGGATGGGGTCGGAGTAGATGTGGTCGGAGGATCGCGCCGCATCGCAGATGCGGCTCGATGCGGAGCCCGATTTTCCACGCCGATGTTGTCGATGCATCGCCGACGTCCACGATGCACCGCTAGTGCATCACCGATGCATCGCCGATGCATCGTCGAATTATCGGCGATGCGGCGCGATCCTTTGACCCCATCTGTTCCGACCCCATCCAGGAGGCCTCTATCCACGCTCCGCGCTTCGTGCCCTCTGGTCTTGCTCGCCGTCTTGCTCGCCCCCCCTGGAGCCGAGGAGCTCGCGAACCTGGCCTGGGCGTTCGCCACCGCCGGTCCAGAGGACCGCGGGCTGCTCCGGGTGGTGGGGCGCGAGTTCTCGCGCCGTCTGGGCCTCGCGGGCCTCGCGCCCGCGCGCGGCGGCGCGGCCGTCGCGGCCGCGCTCGCGAAGAGCACGCTGGCGGTCGTCTGGGCCCTCAGCCAGCACGGGCTCCTGGACCCCGCCCTGCGCTCCGGCGCCTCGGCGGCGCTGCGGCGGCTGGGCCAGGCGCTGGGGTCCGCCGCGGGCGCCCGCGCGTCCGCGAGGCTGGCGCCGCTGCCCCCGGGGCCCGTCGGCGAGGGCCACGGCGCCGCGCAGCCCTGGACTGTGCTGGACCTCCCGGACAGGCTGGTGGTCTTCAAGCCGCCAGGCTGGGAGGTGGAGGAGTCCGAGGAGGAACAGGTGCTCGCACCTCTGCCCCTTCGCCCGTTTGCCCTTGTCTGGGCCTCCTGGGAGGCCCTCGTCGCCACCGCTGGATTCGTCTCGAAATGTTTGTCAGTGCGCGCCCCAGGAGAGGTCGGGGGAGTAGCGGCATCGGTACCTTCTGGTCTCCCCAAGGAGGGCGCATGGCGCACGGGCCACCTGCAGCTGGTGGATTACCTCTCGGGGAGCAGACCACGGCATTAGCGCAGACTCTGAGAGGTCCGCGCGCCGATTCTCGGATCGGCGCTGGATTCCTCCTCCTCCTCCTCCTTCTCCTCCTCCTCTCCCCTCCTCATCCCTCCTGCTCCAGCCAGCTCATCCTCTCGTCCCCCTTCCTCCTGTCCTCTCCTCCTCATCCCTTCTGCTGCTCCCTCTACTCCCTCCTCCTGCCCCCCCCTCTGAGGATCCCTGGCGCACGGATCGCGCCAGGAGCGCCGCCAGAGGCGCCGCCAGGGGGGCTCCAGCGCCGATCCGAGAAATTCGCGCAGACCTCCGAAAGTTTTTGTTCACGGCAGATTCGCATCGTGTCAACCAGCAGCGACCCAGCCGTGGGCCTTCAACATCGAATGCCGCCAGTGGCCCAGACTCGGCCCAATATAGAATGATCTGGCGATAGGAAAGCCGCCCATCGTTCAAGGTGAACTCTTGGCCTCCCAGATTGGGTCCGAGTAGATGGGGTCGGAGGATCGCGCCGCATCGCCGATTCATCGGCGATGCGGCTCGATGTGGAGCCCGATCTTCTCCACTGCGACGGCGCCGATTCATCGATGACGTCGCCGATACATCGCCAATGCAGCGGCGATGCATCGGCGGTGCTGCGCGATCTTCCGACCCTATCTACTCGGACCCCAGTTGGGAGGCATCTGTGAACGATCCGCGAGGTGTCAAAGACCAATGTCAGAGTCGTCGCGGCACGAACCTGCCGTGTGCCATGCTCTGTTCCCCGAACCTCAGGGCGCGGTGCCCGGGAGCGCCCCTCCTGTACGACAGGGAGCACCATTGGGGTCTCCTGCACCGGCTGGACGTGCCCAGCTCCGGGCTGGTGCTGGCGGCGAAGACGCACGAGGCGTACTTCGACCTCCGCCTGCAGCTCGACTCTGGCGCCCTGGCGCGCGACTACCTGGTGCTCTGCCGTGGCCTTCGGGGGGCAGCGGCGGGCGACGGCGACGACGACGAGGCCGACGACGACGCCCTCGACGACGCCCGCGGCGACGGCACCCTCGACGACGACGCCTTCGACGGCGTCGACGACGACACCTTCGGCGACCTCGTGGCCAATCGGGGCCCGGGTGCCCCACACCCCCAGGAACGTGCGGCTTTGCCATCCGGGGCCTCTCGGCGATCTGTCTGCGGTGTTTCGCCGATTCCAGGTCAATGTCCCCCTCCATTCCTTCGAATAACAAAAACGGCATAACCATGAACTTTGGGAGGTCCGCGCGGATTTCTTGGCTCGGCGTTAGGGCCCCCTCGGCGGCCCCTCCTGCGCCGCCCCTGGCGCGCTCCGCGCGCCAGGGAGGGGGGTCCAGCGCGGATCCAAGAAATCCGCGCGGACTGGCGAAAGTTTCTGTGTATGCGGTGTTTCGTTCCTCTATTCTTCCCCCCTGAGCCAGTCCCCCCCCCCCCCCTGCAGTCAAGACGCTCAAGGAAGGGACACCTTGGGCCCATGAGGAGGGACTCTGGTTTCTGGGCTGCTCCTCAGATTGGAGGGGGGGGAACCTGTTCGGTGGCCGTGGACTGGCGCGTCGAGCAGAGCCCCCTCGTTCCCTGTTCTCAGTATCGTCTAATCGATCCCTATCCTTACGTCGTCATCTTTGGGACATTTGTTGACTATCTTTTTTCATTTTTGTAGTATGCTTTGACTATTTTTTATGTTTCTTCCGAAATCTGCCTGTAGGGGGACATGCCCGACCTAACCCCATCCCCATCCCCATCCCGAGCCCCACCGTTCCACCACCCCAGTCGGGGATATGCCCGTCGAGCTCCCAAGGGAACCAGCCCACATCTCAAAATCTGTGAGGGGTATAGATCGGCCAGTTGGGCCCAGGCCACGCCAGTGGGGATAGGGATTGTTTGAGCGATGCTCATGCTCAGTGCTTCTCGTGGTTCAGTCAACGCGCCTAGTAAAGACACGCGCCTTCATCTAGGGTTCCCTCGTGACCTTGCCTCTGCGGCCCGACCTTTGCCGTCTTTTGTCGCTGGCCGCCCGTCGCCCAACAAAATCCCGACTTCGGCCTCCAAGGGTCTTGCGTCCTGGCCGCCCGTCCTTAGTACACGGTTTGGCTGTAGCATGACGACGACGACGACGACGACGACGACGACGACGACGACGACGACGACGACGACGACGACGACGACGACGACGACGACGACGACGACCACGACCACGACCACGACCACGACCACGACGACGACGACCCCCCTCAGGCCTGGTGCCGCCCGCCCGCCGCGAGGTCCGAGCACGCGTGTCTGGCGGCGCGCGCGGTGCTGCCAGGGCCGCCTCGCCGGGAGCCGTGGTTCGCCACGGCAGGCCGGCGCGGACCGCGCTGCGGGCGCTGGCGCGCGCTTCGCGCGGCGGCGAGGCGTTCACGCTGCTGGCCGTGCGCATCGCGAGCGGCAGGCGTCGGCCACGCGCAGAGGGGGGGCAGGGGAACTTTTTAGAAGTACCCTGCTTCTCAGAAGGCGCGGGGACCGTGTCTATATAGAGGTAAGGGCCAGCGCCCTCTGAGAAGCGGCCCCCTTCTAAGGAGCCTTCCCTCCTCCCCCGTGCCTCCCCTCTGCGCACCGCCAGAGGCGCCACCAAATCCGGGTGCACGCGGGGCACGTGGGGCACCCCTCCGTGAGCGACGGCAAGTACACGAGCGAGCGGGCGTTCGTGGCGGACTTCGGGGGCAGCGTTAAGGGGGAGTGATAGGCCTGTTTTCCACCACCACCATAAGTTGGAGGGGGAGGAGGAGGCGGAGGAGGAGGAGGACTAGTAATAATAATATTGATAATCGTAACAATTTTATTATTAAGGATGATAATAAGCATAATATTAAGAGCACATCATACGAAGAATCTGAATAATATTTCTTAGACGAATAATGCGAATCATAATATTAACTAGGGTATTGTTCATACTAAGAAGCATACTAATCATACGAATACTACTATTACGAATAAGAGTATTAAGAGTAATACGAATACTACTATTAAGAATAAGAGTAATCATATTAGTAATACTGCGAGTAATTTGATTTGTAAGAAGAATAAGAAGACCACTTATACAATTAATACTAAGACTAATGATACTAATACTAATAATAACGAGACACATAATAAAAAGAGGAAGAGGAAGAGGAGGAGGAGGAGGAGGAGGAGGACCCCCTCCCCCTCCAACTCATGGTGGTGTTGGTGGAAAACAGGCCCATCATTGGGGGAGGGGGGCAGGCTCGGGGGGGAGCGCCTCGACCCTCCATCGCCCCTTCGTCGCTGATGGAGGCCCGGCAGGCCCGCCCCGCCCCGCAGCGTGCGGGTTCCCCGTCTGGTGCCTGCCGCCGATCCATCGGCGATGCGTCGCCGGCTGCAGCTCGATGCTCCCCCCCACACGAGCCAGTCCACTCCCCCATCGTTCAGACGCCAGGCGAAGGCTGCCAAACCCGTGGCTGCTAAAACGTTTTTTTTTTTATTGTTGTTCCTTTGTTTCTCTCTTCCGGGAAGCAGCCCGCGTTTACTATTCAGTGCGCCGAGCTCGATTCCAGGAATATGTTTTTTTCTTCCGGGAAAACCGTTTTAGCAGCCACGGATTTGCCAGCCCTCGCCCAGTTTCCAACTCTTTCCCCTCAAGGACCTCGCCTGGTGCCCCCGCAACTGCCCCGGGCGCTGCCAGAGGGGGTCGCCAGGGTGTCCCCCAGGGCTTCTCGCGCCAGGGCTGGCCTCCAGAGTCTTGGTTCGCCTCCAAAGCTCAGGCGAGCGCAAACCTGGATCAAGGGGGCGTGGACTAGCGACGGGTCCCGTTTCCATGGGAAATCGCGGAGTTCTGCCGCCGAACGAGGCGGCACCGCCTGGATTTTTGGGAGGGCACCTCCCCCGATCCATGGATTTGGCGACCGCGCGCCAAATCCATGGATCGCTAATCCATGTTTCCGTGCTCCCGAAAAACGCCCTGGGCGTTTTTTTAGCGTTTTCTACCTTGGGCTCTTGACAGGCTGAAATCGGAACAAAACACGCTACGTTTTTTTAGCGTCTTCAGGGCTGTTTTGATAGGCGTTTTTTTTGTTGTTTTGCGTTTTCAGGCTGGACCAGAGTGCCCCTCGCGAGGCCCAGAGGGCCCCGGGGCTCCGGACTGGCGCGGGAAACTGGGGGCACCCTGGGCCGGGGCCTCGGGGCAGCGCCCGCAGCCTCATCCACCGCTGCCGGCTCGGCTTCCGCGACGCGGGCGGCGCCTGGCGCGAGGCTCTGTCGCCCTTGCCGCCCGACCTGGCCGCGGCCCTCCGCGCGCTGGAGCCCATGCTGGCCGGCCGACGGCCCACGGGCGTCGCAGGGCGCCACCTGGAGCCTTGTCGCGATCAGCGAACTTACCCACATCTGGGCACCGGGGCGCGATCCCATGGGTACTCCGCATGAGCCACCGCGTCAGGTCGCTGTTCCATCTCGCGCAGGTCTCCTTTTTGATCGTCGCTCACACGTCTCTGGCCCTCCCAAGTCAGGCTCCCTCCCAAAGGCTTGGGGGTCCTGCTAGGGCGCCCGTGGCGGGCTGCCCGCGGGCCGTCCGCCGCGCCGGCCGCGTCGGCGGGGCCTCGCGGCGGGCCCTGGAGGAGGTGCTGCGCGGGGAGCTGCGGGCCTGGGAGGACTGCGGGCCGCTGGCGGGGCGGCACTGCGGCGCCGCCTCCACTCACGAGGGAAAAATAGACACACACACACACACACATCAAATCATATGAATAGATAGGCACCCCCCGGGGCCTGGGCCGGCCCACCCCGCAACCATTGGGAAGAGCCCGCTGATACCCCCCCGTTTCGCTCCCCAGAGGCGGCCCGGAGAGGCCAAGAGGATGCCAAATCGAGCCAAGAGGGTTCCAAGATGCCCCCAAGACTGTGCAAGAAGGTCCCGAGCTGCCCAACACGGCCCAGGAGAACTCCCAGAGCACTCCCAAGTGGGACCCAAGAGGCCCAAATCATTGAGCTCCTACGCGAAAACATACATTTTCAGCATGTGCGACTTTTCAGCTTTCGCGGCTGTCAAGACGGTCCAAGAGGCTCCCAAGACTTCCCCAAGACAGCCCAAGACGTTCCCAAGAGGCCCCCGAGCCAGCCCAAGAGGGCGCCAAGACGGCCCAAGGGCTGCCTAAGACGGCCAAGTTGTCCCCAAGACGGCGCCCAAGACGACCCAAGAAGGCCCCGAGTCGCCCAAGACGGCCCAAGACTGCCCAAGATGGCCCCAAGACGGTCCAAGAAGGCTCCGAGGCGTCCCAAGAGGCCTCCAAGAGCACCCCCAGGAGGGCCCCAAGAACTTCACGGCTTTGAATGCGGCCCAAGAGGCTCCCCAGACTTGCCCAAGAGAGCCTAAGACATTCCCAAGTGGCCCTCAAGACAGCCCACGAGAGGGCCAAGACTGCCTAAGGGCTGCCCAAGACTGCCCAAGTTAGCCCCAAAACGGGCCCCAAGAAGGCCCGAGAAGGTCCCGAGTCGCTCAACCCTGCCCCAAGATGGCCCCAAGAAGGTCCAAGAAGGCTCCAAGACGTCCCAAGAGGCCTCCAAGAGCACTCCCAAGAGGATCCCTAGAGACCAAATTCGTTACATTCCTGTAGGCGAAACGTACACTTCAAGCATCTACGATTTTGGGGCGTTCACGGCTTAGAAAACGGTCCAAGAGGCCCCCAAGGTTTCCCCAAGCGAACCGAAGATGCTCCCAAGAGGCCCCCAAGATAGCCCAAGAGGGCGCCAAGACGGCCCAAGGGCCGACTCAAGAGGGGAACTCCGACTCGAAAGCAGCAGCCGTCCGCCCAAAGAGCCTCCCAGGAGGCCCCAAAAGTTCCCAAGATATCCCAAGAGACTTTAAGGGTAGCTCTTTGGGAGATGATATAGATAATCGGGAGTATAGCCTGCGCGTCGCTGCCTTATGGCTCAAGGCACGCGCGCCCTATTTGCCCGGATACCTGACTTGGTATTCGCTATGTGCTGGAAAGATCATTACATCGATCTTATCCTATCTTACTCATCCACACCCCATATCGTATACCTTCGACATGGAATTGCATGCAATATGACCTACCAGAGTCATTTCAGACTTGGTAGCGGAGCTGGCCGCACTCTCGTGTGGTCAGCTCTTGCTCTTCTTATCCTCACGCTACCCGGCACGATGCTCGTGACCAATCTCTACCCTGCGCCACCACTCCACCGACATTTACGAGGATCAATTCAAGAGCAAGAAGCAACACGAGAGGTATGACGTCTAGTCAACAACATTGGTACCATATACGCTTCATCACCATGCTACTACCAACCGCTCGGCAACGAGCCAAAAGCGCAGTGCCTGAAGCGTAGGCGGGGGGGGGGACTCGCAAGATGAAGCGCCTCGTAGACTTGACAAGGCGCTACAAGCCCTGCCCCGCGGCAACGCGCCCGATAACCACCCATACCTCCACAGCTTAGGGTTGGTTATCTTCGCCATTATCTGGTTTGCGCTGGGAGCGGCAATCGGACGCATGCGCCGAGGAGATAATAGCACCGATGGGCAAACACATGGCCCATACTGGGACCCCTAAGGCAACGCACCCTTTCGCGAGTACGTCTACGAGGTCAACGCGTGGCTTAACGTCACGAGTGGACGCATGACGCCACAAGCCCAAGCAGCCGCCATGCAACGCGGCCTGGGCGGCCTAGCGAGGACACTCGCCGTGAGGGTACCACCTGACATCATAAACTATGGTGCGGACATCGACGGTGTCCACACCGACCCAGTCACATACATTATCTTCCTCCTAAGCATGAAGTTCGAACGCCTGGAAGATGAGCGCCAGCTCACCTCAGGCACTCAGCTCATCAACTTTCATGTGCCTCGCGGAGAACGAATCGACGTAACCCTTACTCGGTTCGAAATGGCCCGTCTTGAGGCACAATCGGTGGGCTTTGACCTTCCCCACTTCCACCTGCTCACGACTATCCTATTCCGTGCCCTAGGCGTTGGTAACCAGCGAGCCATGCAACTCTTACAACCACTCAACCACCAAATGCCCCGAAAACAACAGTATGAAGAACTGTGTGAGAGCATGCGCTCGATAGGCCATCTGTCAGAACGGTCTCCTGGTAACATAGGATCAGTGTTTGGAAGGGGAAAGGGAACTGGCAGTGGAATTTTCTATACTACCTTAACCGCTGAAGCTCAGCCTGGCAACGGGCCCTCATACATATGGGCCGGCGATCCTGGAGAATCTACTGCCCTACTAGCAGAGGGTCGATCACAACCAAGCTGGGCAACCAGCCCTCTTCCTAGAGAACCTCAGCCTCACCGCTCTCTATGGAGGGAAGCGAG